TTAATTTCAGAAATAATTTTATATAACTCTGGTTTGGTTAATTTTGGGTCTGCTGGAATTCCGTTTGTTTCCAACCAATTAATCACTTCCGCTTTCCTAGTAGCCGTCGTAATATTTATGGTACGATGCATTATCTACAACTAAAACAAACCTCTCGGGTAAGTTTGGTAATAGTTGTCTCTCGGCCCATGTCACAAAATTTTTTGAATTCATTTCGTTGTGATAGTCACCAGTTTTCGTTCCTAAAATAAAAATATATGTACTCTAAAAATATATTCCTAAATAGATTAAGTAAACTAAATTACCTGATTTAAAGATAAGTAATCCATTTTGGACAAAACCTTTTTCGCCTCCAGCGTGAACGATTATCAGGCGTTGTCCTTTGGAAATTGGTTTTTTCAGATTTTTGTCGCTACCATCATACCACCCTTTATCCTTTACATGGCTGCTATAAATATAGCTTTCGTCAGTGTAGACGATGTTGCGGCCTTCTTTACGATACTCAATAATCTTTTTTAAGAATTTTATACGCTTAGCGCGTATGTCATAGGATTCGCATAAAACTTTTCGTTTATCTTGCATTTTTTGCCACTTAAATCCAATTTTTTTCAAAAGTCGGCTCAGGGTGCTTATGCTTAATTCAGCGACGTCTTCTTATAATAAACCTCGATCGAGGATCTTTTGTCTAATACCTAAAATAAAATTAGAGCTTATTTCAGAAGACATTTTAATAGACAAAGATTCTATGCAATCTATCGGGTCAGTATATTTTAGAGAATATAGTTCAGAAACTCTTGACATGGAGAAAAAGGGTGGCTAAGGTACCAGAGACAATCTTTCAATTTTAATGCTTACCCTTTATTGTCGGTAATTTTTTTTCCATCATGTAAAAATTGTAGATTATTTCTCTGATACTTTTAATCTGGTGAGGTGTGAAAGAATTCAATTTCCATTTCTTCATATTTTTCCTTTTTTTGGGGATTTGAAAAGAGGTACTTGGTCCTTGCAAATCCTTTTTCTTAGATTCTTTGCAAATTCTCTGGTAGGTATTCTTTGATACCCCAGTAGCAGCCAATACTCTATCCCTAAAATTAATTTCCTTCTAAATATTATATTAAATTTAAAAAATCTAATATGATTATTTCGTAGACAAATCATTTTTAATTTAATTCTCGACACGGAATTTTACTTAATTATTATTTACAAAAAAAATTAATAAAATTTTAACCATCTACCTTTACTTTCGGTAGAAAAGTTGAAAATAATAATTACATAGATTTGGGACACCCTGTACATATAATGAAAATAAACTTTGTGAAGACTTTCAAAATACTGGAATTGTGTGTTCTTATTGATTAACATACCTGTAATATGTCAAAGGAATGCTAATCCCTTCTTCAGCCTCTTTTTTCATGAACTGAATAATATTGTTCACAATTTCACAGCTTTGGCTGTGTAAAACACGACCCCGTCCAAGTTTTTTAGGTGCCATATCAATATTATCAATATAAACACACACACACGTAGTAATATCTTAAATAAATAGTCACAAATAATTTCAAATTAATACCAAAAAACAAACAAACATAAAACGCCGGCGATCTTTCGGGAACAAAACAACTGGCAACGCTTGCCATGACGAACTCAATATCCTTATGGATGTTGACCGAACGATTGCTCAGGCAGTTCTGTGAGAGCGTTGAATATTATGATATTTGAACCTCGGGGTTGCCAGCTCATTTCGACATTCATTTGCGTGACAATATTAATACAAAACAGCAGTGCACGCCTGTGAAGTTATTTCGCATCGATCTTAGAACAACTAAACAGACATCGCACTATATTTTCTCTTTGTTGCGTGTGACGTAGGTGTACCAAACTAGGATGGTTTTTACTTTAATGCCTTCGATGCTGACGTACTGCCTCCTATTTCTAAGATAGGATTGGAAAAGGGCTAACTCATTTCCTCTCAAACCGTAGTATTCAAGTTTTTGAAGAAGTATTTGCGTATTAACGCAGTCAAACGCTTTTGTTAAGTCGCACATAGCTGCCATAGTACCTATGCGGTTGTCAATATTGTCCAATACTTCCTCAAGCAAGTGAAGTGATGCTTTGATGGTTGTGGAGTTTTTTCGAAATCCAAATTGATAGGCAGAAAGTATAGACTTTTTTTCACAATAGTTTGCAAGCTTTTCTTTCAAAAGGATCTCAAAAATTTTTGCGATTATAGGGATGATTGCAATCGGCCTATAGTTGTCAGGGGAGTCCCTATCTCCTTTTTTGTAAATTGGTATTACTTTCGATACTTTTAAAGCGTCAGGCCAAACACCTTCCTGTATACGTTTATTGTACAGTGCAGATAGCGGTAATAATTATAATAATAATAATAATTATAATAATATTTATAATAATAATTATAATAATTACAATAATAATATACTAAGTGACATATAAATCCGAACACCCAGTTTAAATGGTTTTATTTTAATAAAATTTTGTATAAGTACTTAATGAAGCATAATAAGTAAATGATAAACATTTCAAAATGTGACATCATTATGTTGAAAGAAGTCTATTGTGACTCTTGCAACATGTGGTCGGGCATTATCTTGTTGGAATGTTGGATCTGCCAGGGTGTCAAGATAGGGTAAAAGATGGGGTTCTAGAACTTCGTGGATATAACGCTGCGCGTTCATGTTACCTCTGATGAAGATTAAAGGTGACCTAGAACCATAAGCTATAGCACCTCAAACCATAACTCCAACAGTGTGATGAACATGTCTTTCAACAAAAAACTGTGGATTCCTCCTTTCACCACGTCGCCTTCTAACCCTGGCACGACCATCGTGCATGCCTAAACAAAATCGAGACTCGTCACTAAAGACAATACTGTTCCATTCCTGACCCCAGAGTGACCGTTGTCTGCACCACTCAAGGCGATTACGTCGGTGTTCTCGAGTTAAAGGGAGGACCCAGTGTGGCCGGTATGAAAACAAGCCAAAACTTCTCATTCGTCTTCCGTGTTCTGCAAACCATTCATTTGCAATGGACCTGGTAGTGGAGAAACGGTCCCTTAACGCCAATAATCTTAGGCGGCGATCTTCACGGTCTGTTGTTCTACGGCGGCGTCCAGTGCCCCTTGCTCTTTGCGTACGGCCTTCTCGAAGCCATGCCTGACAACACCTAACCACAGTGTCTACACTTCTTTGCACTCTAACTGCAATTGCCCGAAAATAAAGTCCAGCTTCCCGAAGTCCCACTATACGGCCCCTATCAAACTCACTAAGTTGACGAAATCGTACAGGTGTCCGTACTCTAGGCATCGTAACCGATCGTAAAGGATGTCAAGAACCAAAATCCGCCAACGTTGATTCTTTACTGCGGCTGAAATATTCATTTTTAGAGCGTTAGTGAATTAAAAAAAAGCAGTATAAAAACCGGAATGTTCAACTGATAAGACTGAAAATTTTTTCACTTGTGATTAACAGTAAGATAAATACATTCACCAACTTTTATTAAAATAAAACCATTTAAACTGGGTGTTCGGAATTATATGTCACTTAGTATAATTATAATATTAATAATAATTATAATTATAATAATTATAATAATAATAATAATAATAATAATAATTATAATAATAATAGCCTCTCTATTCCCCTGTATAATGATCATGATCAACTACGATTTTATCCGTAGATTTGAAACTATTTTCACAGATATGGCAACAAGTTCTACCCATAGACGGATTCACAACGATTGGAATGATATTTTTATTTTTCGATTGAATAAACTTTGCTAATTCGTCCAACTGATTTTCAAACCAAACCATGCAATCTTCACCTCTGTACGATTTGTAAAAAGATAAGGTATCATCATAGTTACACTTAAAATAATATGCTGCACTGAAAGGAACATGTTTCTGATATTTTTGAGTTTTTGAAAAATTTTGTGTCAGTGAATGGTTTTAATATTGACTCAAAATCAGCATACACGATAAACGGTAGTTTTTGTTTGGTAATGAAATTCTTGAATTGTATATGCTTTTCTGAGGAAAATGAAATCCTACAGTTATTTCTCTTAACGCAATATTCATCATGTTGAACTAGCTGCTCTTCGGTTGAAAAATAATTGAGACATCTATCGCAAATAACTTTTTTCCCATGGTGGTTATTTGTCTGTGATGAAACTAGACGGAATAAATTTTTATCCAACAATAATGATATGTCATAGGAGTATCGTTGGGTATATTTTCACAATTATTTGGATAATATATGTTTTGAATCAGTAGTAGATTTACATGTTTTGTCCTTTTATTTTTACATAATCGTGCTGGTGAGGTAACATAGTTATTTTTGCTTGTTAATTCCAAGATGAAAATATTGACTGAAATGTCATTATTTTTTTCGAATCTTGTAATGTCAGCTAATGATACAGGTGTTTCAATACCATCTAAATTAAATATGCCCGAGCTGTAATATGGATAGGAAGAGGTTCTGTCTGCATGCACGGCTACCGGATATAAGGCGGATATTATTGCCCAAAGAAAGCATGCGTTATCATCATAATTTTTTACGTTAACGCAAATATTTTCAATTGCAATCTGTTGAGGAAGTCTGATATAGGATGATTCAGCATTATTGCTGAAGCCAGATTGATTAATATTCACTTCTAAATGTATTATTTTACTAAGCGCGAAACTGCTATCTTTTTCACTAAATTCCTGCAGTTGATTGAAAATTTTTTCGATAACGAACTCAGCAAACCATTCGGTGAGGGTAGTACCGCAATCGACAATTTCATTTTTCGTATTAAAATATTTCAATTCTGATCTTTCTTCTTCTTCATTTACTGCTTTTTTAATAAATTCCCCGCAAAATACCGTGTTTACTTTGATCATCGGACATGTTTTTAACCCTTTCGTGGGCGCGAATAAGATAATTTCAATATTCAAGATATTATAAATGAAATAAGATTAAAAACGTATTAATTTTGTGAATTTATTTAATTTTGTTGTAACCGTTTATAAGTTGCCTTGCCAAATTGATTCTAAATGACAACTGATCGACAGTTCGCTTTCGATTGATTTTCATTAATATAAACGAATTGACAATAGACATATCTATCAGATAATACAAAATGCGATGCCACCATTTCGTTGATCTACGACCAACAGCATATCGTTCGTGAAGCTGGTCGAACTTATCTACACCTCCCATTATTCGATTGTATTCAGGTACCACTTTCGGGCAATAAACAGTCTGTCTTTCGCCAGCCTTGTTTCTTCGTAATACAGTTGTTGTATCTTTAGGACAAAAGTAATTTGTAAGAACATACACATTTTTACTGTCCATCCATTTGATAGCGGATAGTTTTCCTTTTGTTTCGAACATAAATTCTCCACGCTGAAGTTTCGTTTTATCCTTATATATATCTGGCAAGTTCTTTCGATTTGATCGCACTGTACCTAGAGCATATATTCCGTCCTTTAGCAAAGTTTCCATTAGATTTACACTAGTAAAGAAATTGTCAAATGCTACCATACAATCCTTATTTTTCAGAGAAGAAGTAAGATTTATTACTACCCTTTCTCCTAAGCCATAATTTTGCTTTTCTGAATCGGAGGTTTTGCCTGTGTATATATCAAACTTACATATATACCCTGTAGCAGAGTCAGCTAAACACCAAACCTTGTATCCTCGTTTGACCGGCTTCATAGGCATATATTGCTTTATTGAGGAACGTCCTTTGAAGGCGATCATTGATTCGTCCACAGCCAGGTAACTAGAGTGATTGTATGCCTTGGGGAATGACTCATTGAGGATATCAATCAGGGGCCTTACCTTGTGTAATTGTAAAATGAAGTTGATGTATTCCCATTATTATCATAACTCCTATAAGAGCTTTGATCTCTTCTATGGAAGTGTTCTCCCAATTATTTGAAGGGCCTGGCCCCGTCTTCTTGTTACTCTTCCTCGGAAGGTCTTGACAAGCATACAAATTAGTTTGGTCGACAATGAATTCCAGAATGTCCTCGTTTAGTATTTGATTGAAGTAAATAATTTCTTTAGCGTGTTCAGAAATTTGCACAACAGGTTCAGGAGTTTTACAGAAGTCTATATTTTTGTCATGTATATGGTCACAGCTTGGCAACCAAGATCGCTTTTCATTATCTTTATCTCGGGCCTCATCGTCACTGAGTGATTCCTGAATTGATACCAACTCTGGTGTTACCGAGTGTAAAAATTCGATATCCGGTTCTGGCGACAAGGGTACAGTAACGTTCCTAGCTGAAGTTGTTGAAGAATTTCGAGGAGAATTAGTGTAACTTGTATCAGAAGTTGTAAAGTCTAGAAGATCCATTTCTTCATTTGCGCCATCGTCCGGTTCTTCATCGGAATTTTCTTCATTGTCAGGGAGACTGTAGAAAAAGTCAAGAGCCTGTTGTCGGTGCTCAGGATTATCCAAATTCCACATTACTAAAAAAAAACGCTTAGATAATAAATCTGTGAAATGTCTAGTGGGAAGAATATTTCCCACCATAAGAAATTGATTTTATATCTTTGGGCGGTGGGAAGTATATTTCCCACCTACAAATCTCTGTTTTGTAACCATATAGATGAAAAAAATTAGATAATATGCAATAACATATGCCACTTACAACTAATCACAACAGATTTAGCCAAAAAAAGTCTTATCCCTTACCTGATTGTAACGATGTTTTCAGATTAATTCTCAAAACACAAAATTTGCATGATAAAAATGGTCAAAACATGTGCTTACATATAAAACGAGTAAAATAATGGGTTGCATATCATGCGTATTTGGCTATTTCCACTTTAATAGTGTATTGTCATGTTTCCAAAAGATGGCAGCACCGATGCCTTTGAAGAATATTTCGCTAGATTACTCCTAGAACACACTTTGAACGGTGGGAAAAATGCTTCCCACCGCCTACGAAAGGGTTAAAATGTTTGTTATACGAGATTTAAATAGAAAAAATGCATCATTTAAAAACTGAACTATATCTTTGTATTTCAAATTGATAATGACTCCAGTACGAACTCTACTGGAAAATGCCGACTGAACATCCTCCCATTTTAGTCTATCGCTACGTTTTTTAGAAATACCTCGCCCACAATGAGGACCTAGCAAGCTTTTGAGATGATTTCTAAAATGTTTAAAATAACAAAGATCGCTCTGGAACTTAACCAAAATACCATGATTCCATTCTTTTTTTCTAATGGCTTTATTCAAAATCCTAATTTGACTGTTAGCACTCTTAATCCATTTTCGTTTATTGTCATCTCTACTGTTATTTTGAAGTTGTTTGAAAGCTTTTTGAAAGATACGTTTGATATTGTTACTCACCGACTCCATTTATGATACACAAATTAAACTTCCTTAATTAAAAATTTTGTTGCTGGATGGAAATTTCCCTCTTCTAGTCCAGTAAACGTAACGGTGTACTTGGCTGCTTCAAATTTGTCGATTTGGCTCTTGAATGCTTCCGTCACCCGGCCTGGCAGAAACACTACGTTTTTCTCCAACTCTAGCAGCATTGACTCCCCGAATTTCCCCTCTGTTATCTTAGCACCCAGTATAAGATGAGTCACGTTGATAGGTAGCTCCCGCAACTTCACTGCTGGCTTCAAGCCTGCAAGTGTTGATGTTTCGTTAATTTTTGTCAAATCCATGTTCTGCAAAGAGAAACTCTCTCTGTAGAGAAACACAGCACTAAAAAAAAAAAAATTGGAAATACTCACATTTGTTTTCACTGCACTGCACAGACACTGGTGGTGGTGGTGGATTTCACACGTTCGTCGAACTACTTATTGGAGTATATTGAATTCGAATAACGACAATGCTTGTTTGCAAGCTCTTAAATAGTACCTCAAGGTGTGTGGCGGTGTGGTTATCATCCTCTAATTAACAAAGCGTTACAGCAAACTGATAAGGTTTACCAACCTTCCGGTTCAAAATTCACTTTGTTGATAACGCGCCGCATTATTAAGCGATCCATCAACTATACTTTTCTTGAAAGTTAATCAACAGAATAAAGAGATCCGTTGTAATTATGTTCATTCAGATATCTTGATTGAGAATGAAAATATTAAATAGCAAAATAGCCCCGCTCCCTCGCCAACCTCCCGCGCGCGCGCGCGCGCCCACACACACACACACACACACACACACACACCGCCATCTTTCTTTAACGCTCCCAACCTTTTGACTCACCCTGCATACAACCTTCTTGACTCCCCCTGTATACACTACACCTCACCTTATCGTCCACACATCCGCATGCGAACGCCGTCGCGCCGATAACGCGAACCTGCAACCGTCCATCGGCTGTTTTATCTCACTTCCGGTCTGGAATGCCCTTAGCTCTACTACTACTAATAATATTTATAATAATAATAGTAAGACACATGGAGAAAAAATCAATAAATACCTACCCCTGAGCGATGAAATCCGCCAAATGTGGGACATGGAAACAGTAGTCATCATCCCCATTGTGATCGGAGCAACTGGAGAAATACCTAAAAAATTAAAAACATCACTGCAACAACTAGGATTACCGTTTGAATTATACTTACCCACGCAAAAGTCGGTCGTGTTGGACACATGCAGTGTAGTCCGCAGAGTTTTAGGCGGCAACTAGAACAAGATGTTTCTAACATCATCCTCGAACCGATGTGCAAGCGTTCTTAACCCAGGGAAGCCTGTGGATCAGTTAGATGATTAATGAATAGTAGTAATAATAATAAATAATAATAATTATAACAATAATTAGAATAATAATAATAATAATTATAATAATAATAATAATTATAATAATGGTTTGGTCTTTTCCGAACAATATCTGGATGTAAGTTAGTCCAAACTGTAATAAATCATGAGCAAAGAACTCCAATAAAATCCTCCTAAGTTCACACAGGCGATGAGATTCCCGTGTAATTCTTGAAAACAGTTTTTTGGCTGTGGATTGCAGACTGTAATCTTGTTGAACTGTAGTCCAGGAAAGTCTTTCAAGTAACCAGGCACTCTCTATATTATGTGGAAAATATGTCGGCTAAGGTCCTTCTCTTCTAGTTTTATCTGCATTAGACGACTCATTTTTTACATAGATTTTGATTTTGAAAGTGACTTCAGAACTTTGTCTCGGTTGGGATCAGATAAATGGAAAAGAAGGTTTCTCCCTCCATGTTGAGCTAAGCTTACAATCAGGTGTTAGGTGTTCCTCTGTTATAAACAAGGGAATACGTGACTTTTGACATATAATTTGTTCAGCAATTCATGAGATTTTCCAAGAGAAAAACTGAGATGAGCATTGTCTGAGACAATATATTGACCGATCTTGCTTCTGTAATATGGTTCCGGGGTATGCCATTATTTGTGCAACCAGACATGCGGAGGTCCCGGTTTGGTGGCTTAAGTGAAGCAAAATAGAGTTCTCTGTAAGATTACATGATTTTTTGTCAATCGTATAGTCCTTCCTAGATAACGGATAGATCAGAGATCCGTCTGGACCCCACCAAATCTTTTCTATCCTAGCTTTTAAATAATAATGATGGTTCTCTACTGTCCTCATCCAGCTACAACCATACGGATTTGCTGACCCAAAAAGGACATATTAGAGGACAACACCAAGTTACCTGACAATCTACTCACTAGCATGTTTTTCACTTCTTCTAACAATTGCCGAGGGATGTTGGAGATCTTAGTTGGGAGATCGAAGTGTTGGGTGGAATACTCTTTTCCGAACAAATTAATCCAACAGCTCATCTTCGTCCAAAATCCAATGATAATAATGGCCGTCTCGGAGGATAATTCCATCTCAGGACGCCAGACTGTCAACTCTGTGTGAATCCCAGAATTGTCCAGTATGTTTAGGGGTTGATCCTCACAGATAGGACTTGGGATTTGTTGTATTTTCCTCCAGGATGTCTCAAGAGGAAAGAAGTACCCAACAGGGTCTTGCGACCTGGCAAATTAGTTTGTACAAAGGAGTACAATGAGATTTAGTAGTTTCATATTGAATTGGATTTTATGGAGTCGACTTTTGGTGGGCGCCAAAAATTTGCCACGCTCTTTTTTTTTAAGTAGGATCACTTCCTAATTTTAAGCTAAAGTTATTTCTCTCAATTGAGGCAATGGATGATTTAAAAAAAATAAGAATTCAGAAGCATAAGTTGTATGAAGTGAATTCCAAGCTTTTTATACCACCTCAATGTTTTCCTATCGCAGGGATAATAGGAATTCACTTGATCTTGGTCGTCTACCCCTCCCATATATTTATTGTATTGTAGAATTGGCAAGGGTTTTTGCTTTGTCCGATTCCTCCTATCCACAACTTCAACCATGTTGTTTTGATGCTCATTAGAAATATATAGAACTTCTCGTTTGTCGTTCCTCTTGCAGATCATTATATTATTAGAATAGACGGCAGCTGATTCTCCCTTTTTTAACTTTCTGGCAACAAGTTCTTTGGGATTGTTAGTCCTCTTTGAACTCAAAGTCCCAGTACAATAAGTATTGCGGCTAGTCAGTTTGTTCGCCAGCTCGAAAGAGTTATAGAAGTTGTCCAAGTAGATGGAATGTCCCTGATCTAAATAATCTTTTAAAAGCTCTAGAACCACTTTTGTAGTATGCCCTTTTCCCCCATATCATCTAATGACCTGGTATATATTAAACATTTCACGATAATTCGATTGGGCTCCGTTAATATATACAGTTTTATGTCATATTTGTGTCTCTTGTTCTTTATGTATTGTCGAAACACTAAACGCCCCCGCCATAACACCATGAACTCGTCAAGTGAAAGCTGCTGTCCTGGATAACATAGGCTAGCCATTTTGTTGTTAAAAAAATCTAATATAGGTCTAATTTTGTAAAGTCGATCTGCGGATGACTGTGCAGGTTCGTTTTTGGCAAAATGTAGGCACAAGAAACCCATCACGGCTCATATGCTCAGAAAAACACTTTAGATTAAACAAAGGGTGCGTCTTCCAATAATCTTGCATGCGATTTACTTTTATCGTTCCAGTATGCAATATTAACCCAATAAATGTAAGCATTTCCATAGATGTTATTGGTTTCCATTTGGTAATTCTCGAATTTTCAGAAATTTTCTCAGTAAGAAATACCGCCTCTGCATATAAATTCGTTTCATTTACAATTAGATCTTTATATATCTATAGGAACATCTTACCATTTTGGTACAGCAGTATTTGCGGCAGAAGCATCTGATCCTAGTGCTAATATGTTAGTTTTGCTTAATAGGCTGTCCTGTAATAATATAGTATGAGGAAAACATATATACATATACGTAAATAAACAGTTGCTACCTTGGTCACCATCATACGTGTCCGTACTGCTATCTGACTCATCTTCAAGAACAAAATTGTCGTCATCATCTTCACTAAATAGCTCATCGTCACTAAAATGGCCAATTATTCATCATCTGTAAGTCTATTAGGATTTCTAAACGTTAATTTAGGCGTTTTTTGCCTAGACAGACCAGAAGATCCGGCTTCATTATCGGCCATCTTGTCACAACTGGCAGACATGAATATTCGAAACGAACAACGTTTTTAGCCAGCTGACATACCCTTGCCGGGTGCTACTTGTCGTCCGATCTCCTCTAATGTAGTGCTGTTTCAATAACAACCATAAGCGCTCTTTCACATGGTCAGGATATTTATCCGTCCGTATGATCGCCCGGCCGGGCAGCACCCTGGAGCTCTCTTCACAGGGGTGGACGGGTGTGTGCGAAAATCCGGACCACTTTTTGCTAGGTACTTCAGTTTGCCGCTGATTATGATGGACATTAGACGCAAAACGATTTTGTTCGCTTTATTAAAACATCGGCGAAAAAAACAACGTAATAGGCAAATTTGGGTTCACCCTTTGCTAGAAAGCAGATACCTGGAAGGAGCATTCTTTGTGCTTTTTCAACAACTGAAAGAAGACGAAACTAAGTTTTTAAATTATTTTCGTATGAGCGTTTCTTCTTTTGATGAGTTGCTGCAACGTGTGCAGACACAGCTACAAAGACAAGATGCAAATATGAGGAATTGCATCCAACCTGAACAAATGTTGGCTGTTACATTAAGGTATGTTTATTTAAAATAAATAAAAACAAAATATACATTTTAGGTTAATATTCTATTTTTTTAATGCAAAAATATATTTATTATTATAATACTTCAAAAGATCAAAAGTCAATATTTGAATTATGTGAGAAAAGGGATGTCAAATTGCTATAATTACTACTAGATTGTGTGTCATTAGAACCAGGAGATATGATGTTTGTAGATATGGTACTCGATGGAATCGTTTCATGATGTTGACTAGAGACCCTGCCTAGCAGTGGAGTGTATGAAAGGTCAGAAGAGGGATATTGCTGAGAGTTCTGTAATAGAGAGCTGCAGGGGTACTGGTGTGTGTGTGTTGTTGAGAGCATGGAGGAGCATAAATCTGCAGCTGTTGAGGTTGGGTTGTTGGAATAGAGACAGTGTTTTGAATGTTTTTAATCACCTGCAGAACTCCCATCTGAAAATCTACAACCTGGTTGTCTGTGAACTATTGAACAGATGGAAGAATGCCCTTAAAAAATTGCATATGACGGTCCTTTGGTCTCCTGCCTCTACCGATTTAAGCATCCTTAGCTCAAATTCGTCGAGGGTTCGCTTCCTCTTCCTCGTTGACTGTTGCACAGATGTGGTCTTCACGGAAGGGATTTTTGCAGTTGGAGTTTGCGAAGTCTGCTTAGTTGCATCCGGAGTCGCCGTCCCTTGATCTTCTGCTGACTGGAGCTCTTCAGTTTGCTGCTGACTTTCTGCTTCATCTGAGTGCTCATAGACCATGCTTGCATCAGTTGACCGGTGATATAAGCCTTGCTCTAGAAAATTTAGTTGTTCGTGATACAAATACTTTCGCAGTTTTGATGCAGCTGCTCCTGATTTTTTCGAGTTTTTGTCTCGATTCCTCCATTTAAGCCACTGGTCTCTGATATTATTCCACCTTTTAAGAACTAGTTGACCTGTAACAAAAAAAATATTCAACAATACTAGACTCGAATTATAGATTTTCAATTTATTGTTTATTTTTTTTTTACTTTACTACTACTTTTACTTTTTTACTTTTACTAATGATTTGCCAGCACAAGCAAATATGCAAGGGCAAGGGCAGCTAATAATATCAGAAATGTTCTAAGTGACTATTTTCTAACTGAAGTAGGCAATGTATCATGGCAGTTGTCGAAAATTTAGGAATCTTGTTTTATTTATTATATAATTATACTATTACCCAACCATAACATATGTTTAGTTCAATGTTCATAAGAAATAAGAGGCAAATAATAAAATAACTTTAAACTTACCAAATTCTTTTCTTTCCCCGTCACTCAAATTTTCAAAATTTTCCTTCAACTGGGCACAAATACTTCTCCACGCTTCTGTTTTTTTGTTGCGATTTTTGTAATCCTCGGCAGCTTTGTCCCAGATTTCTGGTTTATCCTGAACTAAACTAATCAGGATTTCAGAATCTATTTGTTCTACTTCTTTCGACATGATCAAATGCTCGTAGCTACACTGCAGAGTACACACGGTCTTCGTTCGACAACGGACTACACGCTACTGGACTGCAAACAAGTATAAACCAATCGGACGATTAAACACCCGGATCATGTGAATGCATTCATGGCACACTGTAGTCCGCTAGGGCAGATTCCGGGCGATTACCCGTCCGAGCTCCGTGAGTTCTAGCGGGGACATCCGGGCGTTTTGTATGCCCGGACGGGGATTCACCCGTGTCCGGGAAGTGTGAAAGAACCTATGCTAAACTGTGTATTACTATTTGTCCGGTTGACGGGCGATCACACGGACGGATAAACCCCCTGACCATGTGAAAGAGCGCTAACAGTCCCGGTAGCCGTGCGACACGGATCCGTGCCACGAGCACTGCCCAGTAAACTGTGGTGTCACGGATCCGTGCCATCAGCAGTGAACGTGTTAATTCAAATATTAGACTAAAAAATGAATAGATAGGCGGGGTTGAAACAAAACGGATTTGAATACATATTAATATATACTAAATATTATTTAATAATTTATTGCACAAACATTTTACCTCTATATTTGAAAACGAAAATCATTCTAGATCTGAGGCCGTGGAACTCCCACTGTCATCAATATTTATGATTAAAGGAGCAACGTGCGTATCAATAATACCGTCAATTCCCACATTTTAGGTTCGACCCTTTCTTTTACATGCTGAATACATTTTTTCCACTCATTCTTTGTATAACATCATGAAAAATATCAGAAAATTCAAAACTTTCATTTTCTGCTGCAACATATTTTTTTATGTCTGCCCAAATGAGCTCAATAGTAAGGAGGCAATCGTAAAACAGTTTTATTTTGTTTTTTGTCCATTTCATCAATTATGTTCAGGTTATATGTATTTTTATGCGTTTTGACAATTTGTAACAATTCTGCCATAACCATTGTATCATCATAACCAATCTTTTTTATTTTTAAGCCACCCTTGAATTCCTGATTTTTTTGTTGACGTTGTTGGAATGTTATCTAATTTTCTCGTGTGGTATGAAGCATTATCTAATTCTATAACCGAATTATCTTTAAGCTTCGGTAGAGTATTTGAGAACCAATTTTCGAACCAGGCTCCATCCATTTCTTCATGGTAGTTTCCCGTTTTTTTTAAAATTCAAATGCCCATAAAGCATCGGACACAACTCCATCTTCATTACCGATTTCGCTTCCCTTTTCCTAAAAATAATTAATTTTGGACATTTAAAAACCACTCCCATTGAAAGCATTAATAAAAACCCAACAAAATGATTACTTGATTTCTTATCTCGATATAGTTTAACCCGCCATCAGTCGCGCTCCTCTTGCATACGCCATCGGTCGTGCGATTAGATTTTTTCTAACGCGAGGTCACCCCTGTCATTTTTATCTAACATGACGGTATTTTTGCATATCTCTGAGAAATTCTCTATTTGGAATAAGATATATTATTTTTATTGCAAAATGTTTATTAAACAGTTTTATTAACTTACTTAACCCACTTGTTCCTGAACCATGAAAGACTCAACAAAAACTTATGAGGTTTTAGGAAACAGTTTATTTAAGTATTATAAACAATATTTAATGGATATATCAGAAAAAAAATTACAATTTTCCTTAACACTTTGACTACTACGCATGCTGGTGATACATGACTCAACAGAAACTGGTACACTTTTTTCTCAAAAAAATATATTTTGATATATTTAAGTATACAAACAGAATGAAAACAACAAGTTTTTCCACAAAAAAATATTTTTGCAGTTGTGAGTGTCGAAAAAGCACTTCATACATGAAAATTTGTGTTCACACCGCTGACAATGCATTTTAATCCTAGGAGTGTTTGCCATTGCATAGGCTCGACCATTTCTTTCACTATTAGCTTTGTAACATCTGGTACATCTACCCCTTGATGTTATCTCGATGATTTTGTGATTCCTAGAGATCCCTTCAGATGGAATATCTATAATATTATGCCTCTCATTGAAAAGTTTGTTTACAAGCTCCTCCCTGAACTTGGTTATATTTATAGTTTTTTTAGTAAAAAATTGATATGCTATGTGAGCATTTACAACTGCAGTATTTGTGAGTATTTCTATGGTCACCTTTCTATACCATTTTAAATTGCTTAGCGCCATGGCGCCCAAAATAAGGCACCATCGCTTCATCAACACTATGGTGTTCTTGGTGCGGTGCAAACTTCAAGAAATTCTTATTCAGGGCTTCAGCGAGTGGCCTAACTTTTGCAAATTTATCATTCTGAGCCAGGTTATTATTATCAGCTATGTGAAACACCTTCATAATATAATCAAATCTATCTCTAGGAAGTGCATCAGATACCAGTTGATTATGCACGTCCTTGTTCTTTTCCCAGAACATTTTTCTTCTGGGGTATGGCACATAACCGCTCAAGATCAGGATTCCAACGAAGCTTTTCATGTCCGATGTCGTTATAGCTTTATTATTGAAATCTTTCATTGTCGCATATCTGTTTGATTCTTCTGTTAAAACGTCGAATATATTATCATCAAAAAGACTAAAAAAAGGGAAACCGGCGAATGTTCTTCATCGTTTTCTACCTCTAATTGTACAAATGACTCATACGCGGACACATGAGAGTCTCTCCAGTTGAAGGCCCTAGATGACTTTGGAGGCTTAGACCTAGTAGCCAACTGTAATGTCCAGCTTCTCCGAGTGTTTTACGGCTCACCAACGCCACAACACCTGTACAATCGTCCTTCGCACAACCGCTCCGTTCGAGTGTCGGTTTTCGACTGCCCAGTGAAGTAGGCGCATGAGACAACCAAGCAACACTTTATCTAGTCAATACACTACATCCCTTTTTTTGTTTTATTTGTTTTTATTGACTATATCTCTCTTAATACTTATACAACGATTTATATACATACATATATATATATATATATATATATATATATATATATATATAATGTCGTTAATTTCATTTTGATCTTGGCAGACACTCCATTCCCCTTGAACTCTTTTCAAATGTACAACGTTCCTTCTTCGAATTTGACCGGTTTCATCGCTTCTTACCGTGATATCTCCTCCTTTCGTGTTTTCCACTGTGTGTGTTTCTGGATTGTAGTCTAAGCTTAATTTATTTTCTTTATTCACATTTTTTATATACACTTTGTCTCCTGGTATTAAATCACACTCTTCAGCCTTCCGTTTCATGTCTCCCTTTTCTTTTCCTATTTGCTTTCTTTCTTGATCTCTATCCTTAACCTCTGTGTCTTGTGCTGTCCTCTCCATTGTATCGTTTACCATAGGTAATTTATCTCTAAACTTCCTTTTGAAGAAAAGTTCTGATGGGGTTCTTCCCGTAACAGAATGTGGTGTGCTGTTGTACATGGTCAAATAATCCAGCAAACTTTCTTTCCAGTCTTTATTTTCAGCTATACTTATTTTCAGACGTTTAAGTATGTCACGGTTCTGTCGTTCAACCTCTCCATTTTGTTGCGGCCAATATGGTACTGTATTGAAAAGGATGATGTTTCTTTCGGTTAGAAATGACTTAAACTCTTCGCTGATAAATTGCCTTCCATTATCTGCAGTTATTGAAATTGGATTTCCTAATCGACTGAATATTTCTTTAAGTTTGGCTACAATTTCAGTAGAGGTAATTTTACGACAAATCTTCACTTCTTTATACAATCTGCTGTAATAATCGACTACAACAAATAGATGGTCACCACTTGGAAGAGGACCCATCAAATCAATTGCAATATCAATCCAAGGCCCTTCTGGCAACTCACGCCGTTGCATAGGGTTTGGTGTACATGGTGCAGATACAAGAGTACATCCTCTACATGCTTTTACCGTATTCTCGGCCTCTTTGTCGCATCTAGGCCACCAGACTTTCGTGCGAAGTCTTGCTTTCATTGACACGATACCGGGATGTCCCTCGTGAGCTGCATCCAAAACTCTTTTACGGAGTGCCGAGGGAACTACAATTCTCATTCCTCTCAATAATATACCCTCGTGGAAACAAAGTTCATTTTGAAAGATTTTATACATCGTTCCATATGCTCCGATATAAACCCTCTTTCACATTCCGTATTTCCCTATCGTCCATTGAGCTATCTATTATTTCTTTAAGAGAAACAGCACGAGGTCGGGCAAACTCTACAATTTGCCAAATGTGATTGTCCTGTAGTTTTATCAGGGATTTCTCCGCACTTCTGCTTAGTCTAGACAATGAATCTGCGATATTGGTTTTTCCTGGTTGATAAACTATTTTATAGTCGTACGATTGTAAGCGCATAACCCATCTCTCTATCCTCGCACATGGTTTAGATTTAGGACCAAATATTACTTCCAACGGTTTGTGGTCTGTTATGAGTTCAAATCTTTTACCATAAAGGAATATGTGGAAATGTTCCACTGCCCATACAAGAGCTAGCGCTTCTTTTTCTGTCTGGCAATAGCGGCGTTCACAGTCAGTCAAAGTTTTGTGGCCATATGCAATAATCCTAGGCTCACCTTTGGAATTAGTTTGAACTAAAACTCCGCCCAAACCCACAGGACTAGCATCTGCTATGACAATCGTACGATCGCTAACATTATAATACCCTAAGCTAGAAATATTTGACATGATTTCTTTCAACGACTCAAAACATGACTTTTGTTCTGATCCCCAGTTTTCGGTTATGTCCGTTCGATTTCCTGTTTTGTTTCTTGGTAGGATTTTAAGAGATTCTGTTACCGTGGCATAGTTGTGTATCCATTTGCTCACAAAATTAACGAGACCTAGAAAACTTTGTAGCTCTCCGGTAGTTTTAGGTGCTCTAAATTCTTTTATTGTGGAAATGTACTTTTTTAATGGTCTTACCCCTTCTCCTGACAGCTCATGTCCTAGAAAACTCACTTTTTCCATTCTAAAACAGCATTTGTTATTTCTTATCACTACGTTATTTTCATTTAAAACAGATATTACTTTTTTTAATCATGTTCAAGCGAGTCCTTTCCGTATATCAAAATGTCGTCAATGTAATTTACCACACCTTCACATCCTAAAAGCATGCGTTCTAATGTTTTCTGGAATATTTCTGGGGCACACGATATACCAAACATGAGTCTCTTGTACCTGAATAAGCCTTTACTGGTTATAAAGGTGGTTATGTGTCTTGAAGCCGGATCTATTTCAAGTTGGGGGACACCCATTTAGAAGAACCAACTACCGGCTCTATAATATCCCTTTGTTTAAGTTCTTCAATTTTGTTTTCAATTTTTGCCTCTAAAGGTATAGGGATCCTCCTAACATGAAACAGTAAAAATAATACATCAGTAATAACAGTAATAACCTTTTAATGAATGATAATTATAACAATGTAATAAAGCAATATGTGTTATGAGGGTAACAATCAACATTTCAGATCGAATAACTATCAATGAACATTACACACATATTTATCAAAATACAATTTAAATCAGTACCTGTAAGGTTGTGATACGCGTGGGATTGAATGATCGATTGGCAAGTGGATTAATACATCTTTAAATTTGGGGAAAATCTGGTAATCTACTTGATTAACTTCTGCATCCAATCCAATTCTCAAAACTCCTAATGCTATTGCCGAAGTTTTCCCTAAAAGATTTCTAGTGCCATCGATAACAACATAGAAAGTTGAGTTTTCGGATCTTAGTCCTACTTTAATCTGAGCCTCGAATGATCCTTTTATCTTCAGTGGTGTAGAGCTACCATAAGCCATAAATGTAACATCGGGATTTGGAAGTTGATTATACACATTAACTTTGTTTTTCTTTAATTTTTCCCAAGTTCTTTCCTTAATCAAATTCTGCTTGCAGCCCGAATCAATCAACATCTTAGTTTGTACTCCTCCAATAGTGCACTTAATTTCCACATCGTCATCAATGTGGAAAACATACTCAGTTTCTCCCTCTTTATGTGCTGTGTTGTTAGAAGAGTCACCCACTTCGTTAACTTCATTCTTCTCCCTGTCAAAACGACCTTTCTTTTGTTCATGTCTATATTCCCTATCCACTCTCCGCTTCAATGTCTGTTTCGTTCGGCAGTATTGTCTGAAATGCCCCTTAAGACCACACTTTAGGCATTCTTTGTCCCTTGCTGGGCATCTTGCATCATTCCCAGCATGTCTAGGATTACCACATCTACCGCATCCATGTTGAACATTCCTTGATTTATCAAAGTTCCTTTTAAATTTACTATCGATCCTGTTTACTTCTTGATTCTCATTTGATCTAGGTGGGTTTTTGAACTCTTCCAATTGTTTATTAACAACTTCAAGGGTATTTGCTTCGGTGATTACTTGCTCTAATGTAATGTCATCTCCAATTTTTAGTATCTTTTTCCTCAGTTCAGGTAGGAAACATTTTTCTGTTATCTGGTCAATAATGTTCCCTTCCCTGTTGGCAAACTGGCATTTGTCGGCTTGTTTCCTCAATCGCAAGACAAATTTTTCGTCAGGTTCTTGTTTAGGGAGCCTGAAAGTGTGTCTCTCGAACACTTTGCTTTGTCTTGGTGCAAAGTACGCATCAAGTTTTGATATCGCTATTTCAAAAACGTCTACGCCTTCGGCTGGTTCCACGTTGGCCCCAGGAATGTTATAGAATACTTCCTGCAGGTCTAGCCCGCCGAAATGTAGAAGAGAGGCCCTTTTCTTGATGTCTCTGTCAATATTAGCCGCTTCGAGGTAGATGAATAGCGCTCGCTTCCATCGCTCCCATCGTGCACCCACTGAGGTAGATTCCCCGTTACACTCAAACTTTTCTAGTGAAAGGTGTGACATCTTTGGGCGACCTGGAATAATCAATTTAATGATTCAGATATCTATGTATCTGTAGTTAGATTTTATCTTAGATGCTTCCATCTCATATCAATTTAATGATCGGATTATAGTTTTATCCGCATAAATCTACTTAAGCCGTCCATACCGGCAAACTTATAAATTTAATTATCAGATTTTAATCTGCTAATTTAGTACCTACGAACCTCATACAATAATAATTTTTTTATAAGGCTTTTGTTTATGATATCAATTTAATGATCAGTTCGCTTCCAACTGCTTTGAGTAGATACTCCCTTCATTTTATCAGTACCTATTAATCACGACAACATAGTTTTAATCAATTTAGGGAAACAGATCCAATTTAATCTGCGTTAGTTTTGGTACCTACCGATCTAACGGTCACCGGTTGTCTTTAAACCTTGCTATTTTTGTAAACAAATAGGTACATGACTAAAATACAAGCATAATACAACATATTTCTCCCACTACGTAGGTAGGTATTACAAAACATCTTACATTTAATGTACTCGTAGTTTAACCTAGCTGAATTCATAAGTATTCATTTGTTTACTGCACCGTATCGCCATTTTTTCCCATTTGTTTTTGCTCACTAATGTGTACTTACTATTTTCCTCGTCGCCACATGTAATGTCCAGCTTCTCGGAGTGTTTTACGGCTCACCAACGCCACAACACCTGTACAATCGTCCTTCGCACAACCGCTCCGTTCGAGTGTCGGTTTTCGACTGCCCAGTGAAGTACTGAAGTAGGCGCATGAGACAACCAAGCAACACTTTATCTAGTCAATACACTACACCAACCTTGACAACGGAAGATTGTCATCGTCTGAGTCCTCTAATGGTAGTGATATTTCAGCTGGAGCACGAAGCTGTGAGGATGGTAGGTTATCGGGAGACACTGTATCCTCATCTCCAGAATCTTCATCAGTTTCAGCTCCGGTTTCTGGTCTAAGCATCACTATTTTCGCTGAATCATGTGGAAAATCGTCTTCCTCCAACATTGCCAAAGCTTCGTGCAATGAAAATCCTCTAAACAAACAAACGAGAGCGTTAGACTTCAATGACAGAAAAATTCCCGAATATAAGTAACGAATAATCCTGACGTCCTAAATATAGGACGGCTTCAAATAACCTCACTTTTCGGCAAACATCCAAGCGGTACATTAAATCCTATCACATTAGAAGAAATGTTGGAATACTTACAATACGCAACCCAAGTGAAAGGTCTGTAAAATAAGGTATATTGATCATTTTCGTACCTTGCAAATTTGACTCCATACTCGTTCATTTTCGCACCAAGTTCGACTTAAATCAAACCAGGTCAACTAGAATAAACCACTGCTTGGTCCGTTATGTTAACCTCTTAACTGCTACTAGCGATTTACACTACCTGCCTGCCGGTGCACCCCAAAATTGCCGCTTGCGAATATATCCGTCATACGCATACTAAAAGTCAAAAGTAGTCAAATATTATCTATTTTAGAACTATCAATATGTTTTGATAGTAAAAACACTTACTATATTTATTGAATCAAGACAAAGACATATTTTCAAGTATTTTATTTTACACACAAAAAATCGTTTTTCGCGGATATATACGTCATATGCTGAGCATACATTTTTGATTTGATTTTACTCAAAAATACCACACAATAAGGCAATAAATCATTCAATTTATTTAACGAAAGGAACATAAACATTTAGTACAAACTCAAAAATTTATATGAGGCATAAAATATGTCCTGAAAACAGTTATATTATTTTGGAAAAATAAAAAATATAAACAAACTCAAAAATATCTAAACTCAAATTTATAACGTAAATAACGCAAAAAATATAAGGTTTTTCCGTATGGAACAAGCCAAAACAAGGTGCCGGACATAAACCGGTTCTGCATTCTAAGTACCTAGACTCCTTTCTAATTTTTTTTCATAGCAAATGTGACACCTTTTTGTTGGCTTCTCCTTATTTGCTGTGGGGGGAATTATCGATGGAAAATGGCGCTCTACAAAGCGAGATACGTTATATGATCTGGCACGTCGAAGCTGTTGAGCAACAGGTACACTATATTTCTGAATCAACTTTTCCCCGAGCTCCATGACAAAGTTTAATCTTGTTTTTTGACCACCACTTTGTTTGTACAAAATATAGGAGTTTAAAATTGCAATATTCAATAAATGGAAAAACATTTTTTTATAATATTTTTTTAAATGAGTTCTATCGAGGGAATAGAAATGCAGAAAATTATCTGATAAATCCACCCCACCCATATCGTTATTATAAGATAAAACAACAGCTGGTTTTTGTATTTTTTTGCCACGCTTCTCTATTTCAACCATTCTATTGTCATGAAGAGTGCTAATCATAGTGATATCTTTTTTATCCTTCCATTTTATGATCATCACTTTTTTTTTGAACATAGCCACAGACTCCCCTTTTTCTATTTTTTTTGTTTTTATGTCTTGCGGAATTCCCTTCCGATTAATCCGCATAGTTCCGACGCAATCGGTTCTCCGTTTTGTTAGTTCTTCGACTTAAGTCGGCCACTCACGTACAGTTTCAACTGACAGTTTGAACTGTTCAGTGAAAACTGTGCAGTTAAACTGTTCAGTCTGTTTGCACACACACATACAGGTCAATCTATCAGTTTTAAATAATGCATCGAACAGAGCAGAACGATTTGGCCGCTCTGGGTATACTTTGTGTAGTTTTACAAAAAAGTAAACAATGTAAAAAGCGTAAACAGTGGTGCAAGAAGTGGTTACAGAGACGAAATCAATCTTCGGACATCAGCTTATTAAAAGAATTGAGAGGGGAACCATTAGATTTCCTTAATTATTTGCGCATGACAGAAGCAGTGTATCAAAAGTTGCTTTTGCTGGTTTCTCCTTTGATTAAGAAGAAAGATACAGTTATGAGGGCAGCAATATCTCCACACGAACGATTAACTGCTACCTTGAGATTTCTGGCAACAGGACGGTCGTATGAGTGTCTCAAATTCTCGACTAGAATATCACCTCAATGTCTTGGTAAAATTATCCCAGAAACGTGCAACGCCTTGTACGCAGTTTTAAAGAAGTATATGGCGGTACGTATTTTCTTCTTAATTTAGAATAAGAGAAACGAAAAACAGTTGTTTTTGGCAAACTGCTTTTATTTTTATGAAAGGGTACATTTTCATGAATTGGCATCAAATTGAGAAAACTAAGTCGATGCTGTGTTGTCCTGAGAAAAGGATAATTGTCCACTTCCATCATTATGGAACTGTCTAAATGAACCTTGGCCGTATGTTGGAGATGGCGTGGGACATGGAGTGACATTAGGAGATTGACTTGCTAACGCTGTACATGAACCTTGTCCATATGTTGGAGATGGCGTGGGACATGGGGTAGTATAAGGACTCTGACTTGGTGATGCAGCATAACGGTATATTGGCGCTGTGTTTAGAGAACCCATTTCCGCCTCGAATAATATGTCACCTATCTTTTTCTCCGCAATGAGAGCCTGACGTTTTTCCAAACCTCTCAACTTTACAGCAATAGTTTTTCCCAACAGATCAAAGCGGTCAAGTTGTTCCTTGGGTGTTTTGAAATGGCCACGCACTGTCATCAAGGTTTCTGTTGTGAGATCCTCATTTTTCTTTTGTTTTTTATTACAACCAGGTCTTGAGGTTATTGGCTGTTGAGATTTTCTTGACACTTCTTCAACAACCGCAGTTCTAATTTCTACAGCATCATCAGCCTCTCCTGTTTCTTCAGTTGGGAGTGCATTGTCAACGGATTCCTGAAAAATAGAAGCAACTGTGTACTAGGATTGACAAAAAAAAAATAAAACATCTAATTTACTTTAACATAACATATTTAGCTATTGTTGCCTGTTTCAGTTTCCCAACTCAGGAGAAAAATGGAAGGAGATTGCAGCTTCGTTTGAGGAAAGATGGCATTTCCCACACTGCATCGGTGCCTTAGATGGGAAGCATATTGATATAATTCCGCCACAAAACTCTGGATCGTATTATTATAATTACAAAGGCAAACACAGTATGGTTCTTCTGGCTATAGTTGACGCAAAATACCGATTCCTACTAGCAGATTTTGGAACAAATGGGCGGATTTCCGATGGCGGTGTTCTTCAGAATACAACTTTCTTTGAGAAGCTGGTGAACGAGGATTTAAATATTCCCCAACCTGATGATATTTGTGACAATTTCCAAAACGTTCCGTATGTATTCGTTGCGGATGATGCGTTTCCTCTCAGAACTGATATTTTGAAACCATTCAGGCAGGGACTATTAGATTCAGCAGACAAAGAGGTTTTTAACTATCGATTATCACGAGCAAGACATATTGTCGAAAACGTTTTTGGTATACTTGCTTCACGATTTCGTATCTTTCAGTCTCCAATTAATTTAGAACCAGAAAATATAGAAAAAATTGTAATGGCTGCTTGTGCTTTACATAACTTTTTGATTGAACATCAATCTAGTACATACGCTCCTGCAAACTTAAGGTATCAAGAAAATAGTAACGATGGATCTCTTATTTCTATTGGGTGCGATAGTTCACAATCAAATATGATTCCACTAAATCGTCAAAATCGAGGAAATATTGGCAATGACGCAAAAGAAATCAGACAACGCTTTATGGACTACTTCATGAATGATGGCGAAGTCCCATGGCAGAAGAATCACATTTTAAAAAACAAATAAAGACATTATTTGATGTTTACAAAAATAAATAGAAAATTTGTTTTTCCATGTATTCATAATATCGTGTTTTTCTTACCTCGCCACTTTCACCATCCAAATTTGAAATTGAGGTCCTTGAAATCTCTTGATCTTGCAAAAAATCAAACATGTCATAATACCAAAGTACCGGCTTGTAAATGCTATCCGTTGATGTTCCAGACTTGTATGATGCATCAACTTTCTTTTTCTCCTTCCGAAAAGCAGTTCTCAAACTGTTAATTTTATTGATCACAGACTTCTTGTCAGCACCAGGTTCAACTTCCACCAACTTTTGTGCCAATTTGGCATATGCAGCATCCTTCTTCGTACGATTATGATATTCCGGGCTCTTTACTTGCCAAAGACAAGGTTCCGATCTGTATATCGCAATAAAATCTACGATCACTGGGTTTGGCTTATTCCGCGACATCTTCAAAAAACCACCCGCACGGTGCTGAGACACAACTTGAACTGAGAACTGTGCAGTCGAACCCCCACACACGCAACGATCAGTTGAACCATTCAGTTAAAACAATTGACAATTTATTTGTCTCAGTTTAACTGTCCAGTTGAGTTAAACTGCCACTGACACACCCACACACGTTGAGGTTTAACTGCACAGTTTTCACTGAACAGTTCAAACTGTCAGTTGAAACTGTACGTGAGTGGCCGACTTTAATGTGTAAAAATTGTCCAAAAACAAACAGTGTCCCTTATTGAGTAGACTATCACATAGTGACAATACAATTCGTGCAGCGATAGGCTGCTCAATATACTTATGGCCATAATTTGTGTCAGCCCCTGTATAAACAAAAAAATTATAGACATACCCTGTAGAACTTTCGCATAGCATATAGAACTTTATCCCAAAACGTTTCCTTTTTGAGGGAATATACTGCTTCCAGGACAAGCGTCCTTTCCACCCCATCAACGATTCGTCAACAGATATGTTTTTTCCCGGGATATACACACTCCTAAACTTATTTTGTAAATGGTCAATGATAGGCTTTATTTTATACAATTTTCGTACGTGAGGATCGTTGTCGAGAAAATTGTTGTCAGCAAAATGTATAAACTTATGAATAAGGCGAAATCTATATTCCCGCATGGTTTTCACGAAAAATGGCGTTTCGATACTCTCGCGAGCCGAAAAATACATATCAAAAGAAGGTTTTGAACAGACGCTCTGCAAAACGGCAAGACCGATAAAAGTTCGAATTTCATTGGGACTGGTGTTTTTCCACTTGCGGACTCGTGACTTCGGCTTCAATTTTTGTCCATGGTGAACACTGAGTAGCATATCTAAAATAAATAAGTTTTATCCTAATAAATATGAACATGTAAACTTATGCTAACTGTATACCTGTTCGTTTCTTCGGAGATTAGGTTTATTATACTGTCGTCGAGTATATCCGTCATAAGCACGAAACCTAACTTTTTAAGATGCGGATATATTCGTCATAAGCAGTTAAGAGGCTAACACTATAGGATATTCTAGAACAGTTCCACAGATGGCGCAACTGCGCTTCGAGCCAGTGGCGTATACAAAAATTGTTTTATGCGCTGTCCTTCTGATAGGACGTTAGGGATATCTGGGTTAACAATATTTTATTGTATATCAGCCATCTCAAATGATAAAACAACATAATAAAACTAAAGAAACCAAACCAGAGCTCACTTGCTAGCGAACTGGGAATAACAAAACATCATTACGATAATAACATGGAAATAACATTTATTCAGTTAGATTGTCCTCTGCTTCTTTCCACTTATAACAAACAAAAACTGTTGTACCCGTGTGTTCTCTACATAGCGGAGTTTGACAGCGGCTACATTTATTATTTGTGAATCTATTTTTGCGACATGGACAAAATCCACAACTTGGTTTAGATTGAGCCTCACCAGGGTTCATAACTGCTTCTTTGTCGGCGCTTTTACCAACAATATTGTATATTTTTTGCTGGAGTGAAACCGAAATATTTGACAAGGAACTTCTCCTCACCATATGTGGCTTTATAAGACTTTTAGCCAAAGATAAAATGAAGAAACGTCTCGAGATAACATTGTCAGTATTATTTCTATAAATGATTTGAGAATTTATGGTAGCGATATTTAAAAGGCTGCAAAATAGCGTAAACGGTCAGCGGTTGCTAAATCTGGTAACTGAATATTCCGCTTTCATGCGATCAGCAACATCCACGCCGCGTTTTGTGCTATTATAAAACATGATTACTTCTGGTTTTTGCACTCTGGATTCTGGATCGATTGTATCGCTATCATGGAAAGTAGAAATCATTAGCACATTTTTATGTTTCTTCGGAATATATGAAGTTAAAGTTATTGTCGGTACCAAATGCACACATAGTACTATGAACTGGTCTGTTTTTCACTTGCAGAAGCTCTGGCGGAATATCACGTTTATTTTTGCGAAGTGTGCCGACATATGTTAAATGGTGATTTATATAAAGTTCATTAGCAAGTGGCACGGATGAAAAGTAGTTATCGGCAGTTATATTTCTTCCTGATTTGTACACGCTGCTAATATTTCTTATGGATAATTGTTTCTAATGGCCTAGAAGCAACAAAGTTTGGTACCAGTTTTGGCCTATAATTGAAAATGGTGCCATAAAAACTAACATGTTTTTCTTAAGTGTTTTCAGGATAAAACGTAAGTATTAGTATCTGAAACTGTTCGTGACATATGGAAGTCAAATGATACAAATATCAGTGGCAGCGAGAGTCTTAATTTGTAAAGAAACCTCTGAAATCGAACTTATTTGTCAAATTACATATTTGTTGTAGGCAAAGATAAGTATGTATTTTTTGTAATGACGAACACATTTCGATAGTTATTGAATAACAATAAAGTTCCTTCCAAATATAAACAAATTACTTTGTTAAAAAATAAAACTTAACTACACAAAAAACTTGAGATAATTCAATTTTTTACGTACCACAAAAAACGAGATTACAATTGGCGTTCAAGAGGTTCATCTTCTGTCTCGGAACTGCTATTTTCCAGAGAATCCACGCTGTCATTGTCAGTATCTTCCTGCAAATTTATTATAACTTCATCGACAATTAAATCTAGAGCTGGTTCCTTTTCCATGAAATAATGCTCGAAAGAAATAGCATGTTCACAATATTTTTTCCATTCCTCTTGGGTAAATTTGGAGAAAAATTCTTCACAATATTTCTCAACATTTTGGAATTTAAAGTCCACATTTTTATCTGCCACATATCGTTTTAGAGCAGCCCACACTAATTCAATCGGATTTAAGTCCGGATGGTAGTCTTAAGACAGAGTGACCTGCATCATTCATGATCTGATCTATCTCATAGGTTTTATAACTAGGTTTGTGCATGTTTATTATGCCATATAATTCTGCTTTTATCATGTCTTCCGAAAATGGAATGTTCCGCTGTCTCAGCCACTCCTTCATTTCATCTTTTCTACACCCCATTGTGGGACATTTTTGTAGTTGGACATTGTGATACGATGCATTGTCTATAATCAATACACTACGGGCTGGTATGTTAGGAATAAGTTTTTCCTGAATCCACTTTTTATAATTACTATAGTTCATTTCGCTATGATAATCTCCGGACTTAGTACCAGATTTGAATTGTGAACATGCGTTGTTTATGAAACCCATTTCGCCGCCTGCATGAACAATAATTAGCCTCGGCCCTTTGGACACCGGCTTGTGGAAACCTTCGATGGTATTGTCTCCCCAGTTTTTGGCATGGGTATGAGAGGAATGAATATAAGTCTCATCCATATAAATTATGGGCCGATTTTCTTCCCTATAATCTTTAATATTCCTGAGAAAACTTCTCCGAAGCGCTTGTATATACGGTTTTTCCATTAGGATTTTCCTGTTATTCTTCGTTTTCCTCCATCGAAATCCCATATCCCTCATCACTTTTCTCAAAGTTTCATGTGACCCTGTATAAATATTGTTTTCTCTAAGTTTGTGTGTTATGTGTCGCAAGGTAGGGACTCGTTTTTCGGTGACATAAAAATTTGAACGATCAAATGAACTTACCTGTGAAATTCGATCGTAATTATATGAAGCGTCCAATCCGAAGATATCACTTAACCAGGTAGTACGCCGTACGTTGCTATATCGCGCACAAAGTTTAAAGAATATTTTTTCCCCTTCCGCCATCCGTCCCCCGCCATCCATTCAGCATTCCAGTCATTCTGTTCAAAGTATTTTGGTTAATTACAATCGTTTGGGTAAGTATATTATTATAATAATAATATATTGAATAGCTTTGGGTTAGGGTGGGAGTGATATCTTCGGATTGGACGCTTCATATAATTACGATCGAATTTCACAGGTAAGTTCATTTGATCGTTCAATTATATTTCAGCGTCCAATCCTCTATATCACTTAACCAGGTAGATGTTTAAAGTAGTGACGATTGTAATTGAGTAATAAGTTATATACAAAAAATTTGTTAATTTTTTATTAACATTAATTTAACACAAAACTAAGAAGGATTTTCTCCCTATTGTTTAACAACTCAAGAAAATAACGTTATGTCTTAAAAGAAATAACGCCTAATAATATACCTGATGTCAATAAATCAGGTTAAAAATGAAAGTATAAAGGCCATTAAAAACGAAAAGAAGATAAACTTATGATTCTAATGAAAGGATTTGTTCAGCGAAAGTAGTATTGTTAACTATTTTCCTCTGATAAAATCTTGTAAATGTCGTTTCTCTGATCCAGCCGGCCGCCTGCATTATAGACTCCATGGGGATTCCACTTTTTAGTGCCGCCGAAGTTGACGCATGGCGGGCGGAATGAGGTTTAAAAATGTCTGTATCAATACCAGCTAACTTTAGTGTATTTTTAACCCATCTGCTTACTGTTTGTTTTGTCGCTGGTTTATGCGGACTCTTATGAGTAATAAATAGCCTATCATCAGATGCAGATCTTTTTTCCCGTGTGATTTCCAAATAGTTTTTTATGGCTGTAGCTGGGCAAATTGATGGGTTTTCTAGGAAAAACGGTATTTGAAGACATGGCTGTAACTTATTGATGTTAGACGTCTTTATTTGATCGGTTATTAAGATTTGTATATCCGAGGAACTTTCTCGGAAATTCGAGGTTCTAATTAGAGAAATGGTTTGAATTCGCTGTCCCGTAACAAGTGTTAGTAAAGTTGCAACTTTATAAGATAGATGCTGAAGGCTGATTTTGGAATTGTCCCATTTTTCTAAGAAGTTTATCACTTGTTGTGGGTCCCATGTACAATTGTATTTGGGTCTTGAAGGTCTTAATTTTGCTATGCCTTTCATATATCTGGATATACGATAGTCTTTTTGTATATTTTCTCCTAATATAAGTGAAAGAGCGGACCTATGCGAATTAAATGTACCAAACTGATAATTTTTCGCATCAAATAAACTTTGAAGAAATGAGATAACATGATTTACTTCAGCTTTATACATATCCACATCTGCTGTCTGGCAGTACTGCCACCAGAGCTTATATGTTCCTCATACTGCTTCATTGTTGACGACGAAATTGAAGCTATGGCTGTATCGATGGAGCATTGTGGGTATCCCTTTATGAGGAGAGCTTGCCTGATAATCTGGCCGCCACCAGGGAAAGTTTCTTTGCTAGAGGATGGTGCACTCTAAAAGGTGAAGAGAGTAAATTAATGTCAGGCGAAAAAATTATTTCGTCGATTTTCATTGATGTGAATTTCGGAAACCAGGGTTGTGAAGGCCACAATGGCACCACCAAGATTCCCTCAGCCTTATCAGTGATTATTTTTTGAATGGTTCGAGTTATCATTGAAAAGGGAGGGAAAGCGTAAAAATTCAAGTCTTTCCAGCAAATAGTAAATGCATCTATTGCTAAGGCGTCTGGATCTTGTTTCCACGAAATGTATGTTTCACATTTTGTGTTGGCTCTTGATGCGAATAAATCAATATCTGGCTTTCCAAATTTTTGTAGAATTTCACTAAAAGCAGTTTTGGAAAGACACCATTCAGTTTCGGGAGCAGTTAATCGAGATTGTTTGTCGGCTATTTCATTATTTTTAGAAGGAATGTAAGAAGCAAAAATCCAGATATTTCTTTCTTCGCACCATTGCCAGATTGTTTTAGTAATTTTTTCTAGATTTGTATGTTGAACGCTACCCATTCTGTTTATGCAGGAGGCGGCAGTCGTATTATCGGTCCTAATCAACAAATTACAATTTTTATGTTGTTTAGCTAAGCATTTTAAAGCATAGTATACTGCTTTTAATTCTAAGATGTTGATATGAAATTTCTTGTCATCTTCAGACCACCAGCCGTTGGCTGTTTTTGTCTCTGCACAAGCCCCCCACCCGGTAAGACTAGCGTCACTAAATATTTCTAAACAGAAAGTATCTTGTTTTATTTCATTGTATGCACTTAAAATATTTTTCTCCCACCATAATAGATCTATTTTTGACATAGGAGATAGTTGCATCCATGCATCATAAGATCCATTATTTTTATTTAAAGCCAAACATTTATCTCTTTCCAATGCTTTAGTGTAAACCCAGCCATATTTTATTGCTGGGCAGGCAGAGCTTAGAGAGCCGATAAATTTAGCTACGTCCCTAATTTTTATATTAGTTCTTCTTTTTAAAATGAGCAAAGTTTGTAAAATTTTTTGTTTTTTGTCTTGCGTAATCTCGATTGTCATTTTTATGGAATCAAAAACGAAACCTAAAAATGTTAAAGTTTTTGATGGGAGAATACAACTTTTGTCATAATTAACAATAAATCCTATAGATTGAAGGAGCGAGAGAGTAAAAAACACACTTTTTTCGCATTCTTCTTTTGTTTTTCCCAAAATAAAAATATCGTCCAAATAACTAACACAAACAATGCCATTTTTTCTCATATGTTCCACTACGGGCCTCATTATTTTGGTAAAACAGTGGGGTGCAGTTGACAAACCAAATGGTAAACATGTAAATTCGTATAAGGTGTTATTGTGATAAAATCTT